CCTCTAAAACCAGGCTGGTCAACCAGCTAAAACCAGCCAACCAGCTTAGGCTGGTTTAAGCCGTTTTTTTCAGCAGGGACTGATCCAAATCCTACAAAAAAGGTCTGAAAAACCCAAACTAAAGGTTTGATCCAGATCAAAACCAAGATTGGATTACATGATCTAATCCATTTATGTAATCCGTTTTTTCTTTTAAAAAACCCATTTTCAAGATTTGATCCATTCCGTTATCCAAAATCCTAGTGGATTACTTGTTAAAAACCGGGCGCTGAGGAGTTTAGCTTCAACACACCTGCCAGGTAGTTTCTAGTAGTAAGAGCTTGATTAGTTTGTTCAGGTGTGTTTGATTAGGTTTGGAGCTAAACTCTTAAGGACACCTGCCCTTTAGGATCGGGTTTGGACACCCTTGCTCTAAGCCAGAGGTGTCCAAACTCGATCCTGGAGGACCGGTGTCCTGCATAGTTTAGTTCCAACCCCAATTAAACACACCTGAAGCAGCTAATCAAGCTCTTACACTAGAAACTTCCAGGCAGGTGTGTTCAAGGAAGTTGCAGCTAAACTGTGCAGGACACCGGCCCTCCAGGACTGAGTTTGGACACCCCTGCTCTAAGCATTAGGCTTGGGCTGACCTGTGATGAAGTACGCTGTCCCGGTGAGGCAGAGGATGATGAGGATGATCGTTCCCGGACCCACATCCACCAGTGCGCAGGCGCTCGGACACGCACACGGACTCTCCACCCACATCTGCAGCGGCAGACTTGAACCTGAATCCGAACCCACACTCCAGCTGGAGGAGATTAAGCGATTCGGGCCGCAGCGGTAATGAACCACAGTCTGAGGCTGGAGCTCTGGAGACACTGAACACAGCACAGAAACAGGTCAGCTTATATAGTTGAAGACAGAAATGTTAGCCCTCCTGAATTATTAGTAAAGGCTGTATGGTGGTGCAGTGGGTAGCACGTTCGCCTCACAGCAAGAAGGATCGCTGGTTCGAGCCTTGGCTGGATCAGTTGGCGTTTCTGTGTGAAGTTTGCATGTTCTCCCAGTGTTCATGTGGGTTTCCTCTGGGTGCTCCGGTGTCCCCCACAAGGCCAAAGACATGCAGTACAGGTGTATTGGGTAGGCTAAATTATCTGTAGTGTATGTATGTGAATGGTTGTGGATGAATGTTTCCCAGTGATGGGTTGCAGCTGGAAGGGCATCCGCTGCGTAAAACATATGCTGGGTAAGTTGGCGGTTCATTGACCTGTGGCAACCCCAGATTAATAAAGGGACCTAGCCAAAAAAAAATGTATGAATGAATTAATAGCAAGTCATGCTTAGCCACGCCCATCCAGGTGAAAAATGAGAGCCGGAAATAAAGCCCCGCCCCCTATTGAATATTTTATTTCAAGCTGGAAATAAAGCTGCAGGCACACTAAAGTTTGAGCTTGCGAAATTCTGTCGTACGGTGCTGTGAAAAGGGGCGGGATTAAACGAGAAGATTACACATTAAAAAACGCGAGCGATTGGTCTAAATTTTACACTTCTATCTAGAGAAGTCATGATTTGATCATCGATTGGTCTCACGCAATCACATGATGCGATTTTGTAGCGAACTGCGAAACTTTTGGCACGAGCTTGCGTTTCTGTATTGCCATATTCGCGTGCGTATGAATGGAGGTCTATGGGGAGAAAAGTCCAGTGTGACCGTGGCTTAAATCATGAAGTGAAATGAAATTCTGCAGCCACTTTTGGTTCACGTGGAATTGTTCATGCTAAACTAGAATCTTTTTCCTAAATGCATTTTTGAACCTGAAAACGTAAACAGATTAGTTTTTGCTAAATTAGTTGAAATTATACATTAATGGGTTATTTTTAAAGGTATAACTTCAAAATAAAAATGACTTATTGCCACTTGATTAATTTAGGATTAATTTAGTTAAAGGTGCAGTAGGTGATTGTCTTCAGAAGCATGTGTTGTTGTGCTGGTTGAAAGTTTCTTCACAGTCTAATAGTAATGATTAAAGTAAATTATCTAAATGTGTTTATATGTATTTTTATATTTTTATTATATTTAAATTTTTATATTTTATATTTTTATATATAAGGCATAAAACTAAAAAATATTCATCCAATTAAATAGAGTCGGGCCGACATCTCTCATAATATCGATAAGTAGCTCAATCTGTCAGCAAATGTAAATTTGAACAACTGCGCTGCTTTTTGTACGCAGCTCTGCCGACCGCTGTTTGTGCATTGACGTGCTGCCCGTTCTCGAGAAAGAGAGCACGCGCATGTGCGATCGGTAAAAACCTTTGCACACTGGAGAACGGATGACACCATGGCTGAAGGATTTCTCTTAGACAGGTAATGTTCTGTTGTAAAACTGTTTTAGCTTCACGCAAAGCTGATGTAACGTTAGATGTTGTTGTTACAAATGGGTTACATCCTCACAGAAGTGTTGTTCAGCCACTAAAATCTTCCGATGAAAGACTGATAAGACTATTTTCAGTTTTATAAGGGACCTTTTACAGCATTGATAATGTAGATTTTAATTAGTTTAACAACAAAACACAAGTAAATAGCGCTATTTCACCTAGTCCCTCCCTATATTGTTTATCATGCAACTCTAAATATTCAATCTGAAATATCATGTCAGTTTGGCTTGGACGCCTCCGGACAAGCACTAGTCGCTTTTAACACATGAGAGAGGGTTCTTTTGCTGTCATCTTTAAGGTGCACATGCTCCTCTTTCAGGAGGCGTGGCTCTGGACGGCAGGGGAGGGACTGTGATTCGGAGATTTATGCTAAGCTGTTAGCATTGTGGAAGATCACTTACTGCACCTTTAACTTTAAAGAACAATTACATAAATTAATTGCATTAAATTGCATTAATAAGTCAGTCATTGATACATTTTCCTTCAGCTTAGTCCTTTTATTCAACAGCGGAATGAACTGCCTACTATTCCAGCATATGTTTTACACAGCAGACGCAACCCAGTACTGGAAAACAGTATACACACACACACACACACATTCACACACTACGGCCATTTTAGTTCATCAATTCCCCTATAGCGCATGTATTTGGACTGTGCGGGAAACCAGAGCACACAGAGGAAACCCACACAAACACGAGGAGAACAGCTGGGACTCGAACGAGCGACCTTCTTGCTCTGAGGCGACAGTGCTAACCACTGAGCCACCATGCCACTCCAATTCATCTTAAAATAAGACTTGTTATATGCCTTAAATCTAAAGACTTTAAATGCGAGTAATAAATGAAAGATATAGATGAACTCACAGAAATAAGTCACAGAAAGCGTCTTCGTTGTGTCATTATAGCTGAATTTACTGCCCTCGTGTCTGCCGTAGTTCAAGTACTGATCTATGAGCCTGTTGTCCTGATGAGTCCTGCAAAAATACAAATAAAAAAATAACATAATACCTCAACATCTATAAACACAGTCAAGGATTGACACCAGTATGGATAAAAGCATTGGCACTTAAAGGCATAGTTCACCCCCAAAAATGTCATTTACTCATCCTCAACTGCTTCCAACTCTTTATGTATGGAAGATAGATGTGTAAATGAAGATCTTGGGCTCTATTTTAATGATCTAGGCGCAAAGTCTAAAGCATATGGCATGAATCCACTTTTGCACTTTTGCTATTTTAAGGATGGAGAAATACGCTCTGTGCCCTGGCGCACGGTCTAACAGGGTTGTGCTTATTCTCTTAATGAATTCTGGGTGTGTTTTGAGCATAACGTTCATTAAGCCAATCAGAGACTCGTCTCACATTCCCTTTAAGAGTCATTTACTATTTACATGGTGGACTTGGCCAACGCTTCACTAGCGAGAAAACCAATAGTATCTGGATGCAGCCTTCATGATGCAAGCTGAGATTGCATCACTAAGCAATGCAATGTCAGACACACAATGCGCTGAATGGAGTGACATCACTGTGACAGGTAGGGGTTAGGGGTGGGGTTAGGTGAGCATATTAAAAAGCATTGGATGCAGCTCTGATAGCACTGCACCAAGTCTGCATACAGACCCCTCTCGAGAAAACAGTTAAAAAGAGCATCTGCAGCGCGAGAATAAAGAACGAGCCTCCTCCATTCAGCCTTTTTACTTTCTATTTACTTGAACTCATTATTTTACTCCTTTACTTTGGTGGAGTAAGGAAACAGTGGAAACTCACTCCACTGAAGACAACTATTAGCCTACATGTTTAATTTAGTTTAAGCGCAAAGATTTCTTTCAAAACTATTTCTAAATTCAGTACTAATCTCCAGCAAACAAATAAATGGAGAATAATAACAAATTAAATCCAAACACACGTCCTGTTCTTATGCCCCATATGGTGATGCAGACGTCTCCAAAACCCCACAGGTGGACAAATATAAACATGTTTTTATTAAAACAAATATAAACATGCAGATAATAAATAATACTGCCAATAATAATAATAATAATAACATTATACAGATGCAGATTGTCATGAATAAACTGAAAAAGCCCCCGAGATGATAAAGGCATGGAGGCAGTGGATTTTATATTTATGGAGAAAATTATAATTTTTATAACATTTTAATCCTTTATTTGTTTTCATCTGTAAAGATATTTGTGTATTGCTGAACATCCTGTGTGTATTAAGCAATGTGTAAGCGTTTGGACCTGCATAGGCACATAACTAACGTGCTCTACACTGGACTTTATAAAGCAGCTTTTAGTTGGTAAATGGCGCGGCCTATTTCAGTTCTTAAAAATAGCAACAATGCACCTTAACACACCTCCTTTTCAGACCAGCACACCCATGAGTCCACAAAGTGGCGCTAATGGATTTGCAGATTTAAACAACATGGCACAAAATGTGAAAATTACAGTTGCGCTGGTCTGAAAATAGCAAAAAATCATGCTGAACACGTCTTGCGCCTTATTGCGCCGGGTGTATGTTAGGGCCCCTTTATATAGGAGTTTGGAAACTAGCAGCCATTGACTTCCATACTATGGATTGTATCAATGGATATTTTTAGGGAGCTATTATGCAAAAATCACTATTACAAGGGGTTTAAACACAGTTATGTGTCAACAGTGTGTGAACATAACCAGCCTCTAATGGTAAAAATTAATGTTTTTTTATAATCAGACTTGATAAAAACAGTCTGCAGAAACACTTTGATTGACATGCTCCAATTGTACATGTCATCAGAGGGGGAAAGCCCCGCCCACTAGTGACCATTTCTCCCTTATTAGCATAGAACATCAGTCTTGTTTTTGAATCTGCCACTATGCTGACACACAGGCATCTGTAGCTCCGCCCTCTTTTGAAAAGAGCACAAACTTATTTGAATTTAAAGCGACAGTCACCAAAACCCCACCCAATTAGGATCAAAGCCTAAAAGGGTCAGTTTCAGAGAGTTATAATTCATTATTTGTGTGGTATTTTGAGCTGAAATTTCACACACACACTCAAGGGACATCAGAGACTTATTTTACATGTCGTAAAAACTGTCTAAAAATGTGCACTAGCAGAATAAACTCCTTTTTGATATCATGCGAACACTATCAATGATGAGTAAATGTACAACTCACTTTGTGATAACACAAGCAGCCACATCAGTGCATTCGGTGGCGGTGAAATCCTCAGGCTGTGAGAAAGACAAACACGGACTTAAAGAAAGCAGCACATCAGCGTCTCCTGTTTCTGACGGCAGAGGTGTAAAACGCAGTAAAAAACCGTCCTCGTCTGCCACCGAGCCTAGATCTATGAGGCCGGAGCCGTCCAGCATCAGACACTTACACTGGTTGACTTTAATACAGCCGCTGCGCTTAATATCTGCTGGAGGAACGGCTTCTGCGAGGAACAGAGAGAAATAAAACGCAGCCAGAGCAGACTGAGGCATAGTGAACATTTAGAAGCACACAGTCTGAGCATTAACTACAGCTCAGAAAACTAGTCAGTCAACACTATAGTGATAATGATGAGCATCAGGGTGGCAGATTCCCGAACAGCTCTATTTCAACAACACAGACGCTCGTTATAAGTTACTCTGTTTACTTATAGGAGAAATAATAGTGTAAAATAATATTAATTGGGTTAAATCTGGAAATTTCAGGTCAGAATTATTAGCTGTATTTAGTGCATCCAGAAAGTATTGACAGCGCTTCACTTTTCTCCACTTTTTTAATGTTACAGCCTTATTCCAAAATGGATTAAACTAATTTATTTCCTCAACATTCTACACACAATCCTCCATAATGACAATGTGAAAAAGGAGTTTTTGGAAATTGTTGCAAATTTATTAAAAAATAAAAAGCTGAAAAATCACATGTACATCAGTATTTGTTGATGCACTTTTGACAGCGATTACAGCCTCGAGTGTTTTTGAATATGATGCCACAAGCTTGGCTCACCTGTCTTTGGGAGTTTTTGCCTATTCCTCTTTGCAGGACCTCTCAAGCTCAATCAGGTTGGATGGAAAGCGATGGGATACAGCTATTTTCAGAACTCTTTAGAGATGTTCAATAGGATTTAGGTCTGGGCTCTGGCTGGGCCACTCAAGGACATTCACCGAGTTGTTGTGATGAAGCCACTCCATTAATATTTTGGCGTTGTGCGTTGGGTCATTGTCCTGCTGAAAGATGAACCATCGCCTCAGTCTGAGGTTAAGAGCACTCTGAAGCAGGTTTTCATTCAGGATGTCTCTGTACATTGCTGCATTCATCTTTCCCTCTATCCTGACTAGTCTTCCAGTTCCTGCTGCTGAAAAACATCCCCACAGCATGATGCTGCCACCACCATGCTTCACTGTAGGGATTGTATTAGCCTGGTGATGAGCGCTGCCTGGTTTTCTCCAAATGTAGCGCCTGGCGTTCACTCCAAAGAGTTGAATTTTAGTCTCATCAGAGCAGAGAATTTAGTTTCTGATGGTCTGAGAGTCCTTCAGATGCCTTTTTGGCAAATTCCAGGCGGGGAGTCTCTTCCATCTGGTCACTCTACTATGCAGGCCTGATTGGTGGATTGCTGCACAGATGGTTGTCCTTCTGTAAGGTTCTCCTCTCTCCACAGAAGAACGCTGGAGCTCAGACAGAGTGACCATCGGGTTATTGATCACCTTCCTGACTAAGGCCCATCTCCCCGATCACTCAGCTTAGATGGCCGGACAGCTCTAGGAAGAGTCCTGGTGAGTCCAAACATCTTCCACTCACAGGTGATAGAGGCCGCTGTGCTCACTGGAACTTTCAGAGCAGCAGAAATGTTTCTGTAAGCTTCCCCAGCCTTGTGCCTCGAGACAATCCTGTCTCGGAGGTCTACAGACAATTCCTTTGTCTTCATGCTTGGTTTGTGCTTTGACATGCACTGTCAACCCTGGGAGCTTATATAGACGGGTGTAAGCCTTTTCAAATCATGTCCAATCAGCTGAATTGACCACAGGTGAACTCCAATGAAGCTGCTGAAACATCTCAAGGATGATCAGTGGAAACAGAATGTACCTGAGCTCAATTTAGAGCCTCACCCCAAATGTGTTGGATGGCGGAGGGGTGTCGCGCACCGTATCACCCCTGATCCAATGGGTTGGCAGAGCGAGCTGTGCAAACTTTCAAAGACCTTTTGAAGAGGAGTTCAGGGGACACCCTGGAGACGAAGGTACAGAGGGTTTTGTTCAATTATCGCATTACACCTCAATCTACAACTGGACTGTCTCCTGCTGAATTGGTGATGGGTCGGAAATTGCGTTGCACGCTAGACAAGATGCACCCAGACTTCACTGGTAAAATGGAAATGAAGCAGCAAGCTCAGGAGGAGTATTAAGATCAACATGTGAAATCTCGTTCCTTTTAGAATGGAGACTCTGTGTATATTTGAAATTTTGGGTGTGGACCAAAATGGGTGTATGGAACAATCCAGGACATTACAGGACCAGTCTCTTATACAGTGGCTTTGGGTAATGCTCAGATAGTGAGGCGTCATGTGGATCAATTATTCCGTGGCCAATCTAAGGAAATGCCAGTGGCGTAGCGCAAAATGCGGAGGCCCCCCTGCAGGGATCACTGACGGGGCCCCCAGTTTAGGGGAGCGATCACAAATTGAGGAGCGGGAAAGGGGGCAGGGTGGAGCGATGACGCGGGGAAGCCTTCACAAACTGAGGAGCGATCACAAACCGAAAGCGGCGAGAGCGTCAAAGTAGCCAGAAGCCAGAAGTCATTCATTTTTAACGAGAACCGGCGGCAAGGAACAGCGCGGCGCATCTTTTCCTGTGTGGGCATCGAGGAGAGTTAAAATCAAGTCAACTTTATGGTATGAGCTATGACGCGGTTTGGCGACAAGCAATCAGAATGAAGTAGCCCACCGCTTGAGAGGAGTTCAGAGAACACAGACCTGTAAACGTTGGTTCCGACCACAGTTGTTCCCAAAAGTTTGATTATTGCGGTTACCGGATTTTCAATTATTGAAAATGGCAACGACGTGGGGCCCTCTAATCACGCGGGGCCCCTCTGCGGTGCGTGCCCTACGGGCCCGTCTGCTATGCCACTGGAAAATGCCTATGGAACAACCAAGCATGGATGTTCAGTTAAGTGAGGATGAGGCGGTATCTCAGGATGTGGTTGTTCATGGGCCCGAATCACCTAGCATTCCCATAAGATCAAACGAGTGTGTTACAACGACTACAGTTGAGTTGGAAAACTAGCAAACTGTTGGTTCCAGTCCGCCTTTGGAAGAGTTATGTAATACTCCTTTGATTCCTGAATTGATGCCAAGAACTAAATTAACAAATTCTGAAACTGTGTCTACCGAAGGGCTACGACGCTCAAGGAGGGAGCGTAAACCCCCAAAACACTTAAAAGACTTTGTGATGTGAAGAAAAAAAAAATAATAATCTGTTGTACTTTATCTATATTGGTGTTAATTGTGAAATGTGGGGGGACTGTCTTTGGATTTATGTGGGAAGGAGTGTAGTATGGCATAATAATGTTGTCCAGTAGGGGGCGATGTGTCACTTGATGGTGCGTGCAGTATAAAAAGGGGCTGAGAAGAAGACCAGCAGGTGTGTTACCAGTTTGCTGTGTATAGGGTATTCACCTTATTCTCAGCTGTCGAGCGGGCGCTGCCATTTGAATATTTTTGTCTCGCGACTTCCGGTCACATTCACTTCCATTCATTTTTTGACGTTAACAACTGCTCGTTACGCTGCTTGATGTTGCAATTTAAAATTTTCTTATTATATTATGCTACTTGGTCTGTGTAGTCATGCAAACATTTGTTTGTTGAGCAAGTAGTTTGGCCATTTTCTGCCGTTTATTATTCCTAGTCATTTCTCCCATAGGCGACTGAATCGGAAGTTCTAAGACAATCGCGAAAACAGGCGCACTTCCACATTTTAGAATAAGGTCAATATGTCGAGCTAGTGCTGTTCCCATACTGATACACTTCCGGTGACCTGTTATTGTGGACTTTTCTCCATTTTATACGGTTCCTTATACAGCATCGATGTTGTAATGTCATTAAAATACATTCAGTTAAATAAACTTTGCCATTCATTTAGTTGCTCAAGCGTAAAACCAGACAAAAAGCCGTTTACTCGCACGCGCCCGTCAGAATCTGCAGGCTAGCGCAGAAGCTACATTGAATATACTGGGGTAAAATAAATGCTCATATTATAAAGATATGGCGGGGGAAATGTAATTTAATGCAGTGCTTCTTGTACAATCTGAGACCCACTTTATATCGGATATCACTCAGCTAGTGGAGATCGCTGATTTTTAAAGAAAACAGACCTTTACCGCGCCGGTTTTTGCATTGAATACAGTTTGCCGGAAGTGCTTAACCCAGGTGACTGGCAAATTAAAAGTTATATTAGCATGATTCAGCATTTACCCTAATTTCCAGAGTCCCAATAATTGACAAGCATGAACGTTTGGCTCTGAGTTACCTTTATTAACTCAAGATACATCAAAAAATACATAGCTAATGTACACCATTGACTGTTGTACACCGTCTGAGAGAAAAAAAAAGTTTATCCAACTATGACGACTTCCGTTACTGAGAAACCCGGAAATGTGAAAAGGGTCCATGAGCCGCGCGGCGCCATCTTGAGGAGAGAACGGTTTTTTCCACAGAATCAGGCGGACAGTCAGAAACTCACTGGCCTCTGCGGAGTGCCAGATGCCGCGGGGATTTCTCCTCTCTCTCCGCTCACAACATGGATTTCAACGTGAGGAAACTCGCCTCGGATGCTGGGATATTCTTTTCCCGCGCTGTCCAGGTAAGAGATGCCGTTTTTCGGTATGTAAATAAGTGTAAAGGCGACAGTGAGAGTGACAGTTAATGTGACGCGCGTGCCCGTTGCGTTTACACAAAACACCGAGTTTCACTGATACAATCACACATTTTCACTTTCACCTCAATTAAATGTTGTTTCTGACATAGTACACGCTGTCAATGTAGGGTAAATATAAATAAATTAGGATATTAGTCGACAACTAGCCATGTTTGAATATCTTAGGCTGTTTGGTTTGTTATTCTGATGTGTTTCCTCTCAGGAATATTATATTAATGGAGTTTTTTTATTGGGACAGTTTACAGAGGAGAAACTGGGACAGGCTGAGAAGACTGAACTGGACACTCACTTCGAGAATCTGTTGGCCAGAGCGGATTGCACCAAAAACTGGACAGAGAAAATCTACAGGCAGACTGAAGTTCTGCTCCAGCCAAACCCGGGTTAGACTCAAAGATATATAATGTACACATGCATGCCTATTATTACGGTATCAGCTTCTTCCAATTCTATGCAAATGTCAGGCTTCTCATGACAAAAATAACGTTTTTCCCAAAATAGTGAGACCCTTTCTACGTTGTTTGTTTAGGCTTGTACTGTAAAACACTGCAAATGTCTCTGTCAGTGTTTTTAAACAATTATACCCTCCTGAGACCCAACTATTTATATTTTTTACCCAAATAATTTCCTACATCATTTGGGTAAAAAAAAAATCTACAATTTAGAGTTTTTACATTTTGTTTTAATTTTTTATTTTACAGCATGTCCACTGCAAAACGCACATCAAGTGACCACACACACTCATTCACACACACACGCACACACAGTCATGCGCTCAAGACAGCGGGTCCAGGCAGTCAGTGGGTCAGTAGACTGGTTCAATCTTTTGCTTTCACGCTTGTACTTAGTAATTTTAGCGAACACCTCAGATACTATTGGTTGGTTCCTTTTGGTTGTGCACCCTTTTTACCAACCAAGTTTGTCGACGCCATCATAACGACACAGATCACTCTGACTATTCTTGCCTATTCATGAGTCCTGCGGAAAATGTGATTGACAGGTGGTAATTATGTGTGTAACTTATCTTTATTCATTTATGATTTGTTTATCGGTAAAACAAAGACCATGCGGGTCAGGTAGTTAAAACGGTAGGCTACAAATAATAAATTCGTTATGAATTAATTATTCATAATTATTGTCTATGACGATGATGCCATCGTCCATCACAATGTTTATATTAGACATCGTACGATGCCAAATTGGTCGACATCGCCCAACCCTAGCATATGTATATATATATATATATATATATATATATATATATATATATATATATATATATATATATATATATATATATATATATATATTTATATATTTATA